AAACAAGAAACGGGGGTGTCTTTTTTGGGATTTGTGTGTTGTTTTAGGATTTGGACCCCAAAAAAACTTTGGACCAAGCCACTCACCTGTTGAATACATGGATGCGTTTTTCTTTTGGGTACCCCACAAAAATTGTGGTGGTCCTTGTGGTTGGAAACAAACGGGAAGCAACATCAAACAAACACCTTGCCGCCGCCAGCGCCATTGCTCTGTCGTTCAGAAAGCTGGCTTCGAGGTCAATGAGCCTGGGGGTGCCTTTCAACCAGCCACAAAATGACCGCGAGCACGCGACAAATCCAGGGCTGGGCTGCAGCCATGTGTCCGCTTGGGTGACAAATCCAGAGCTGCAGCCATGTGTCGGTTTGGGTCCGGAAGATTTGAGAAAAGGGGGTTCAAGCAAATGGCTGAGTGTCAAAAAGCGGTAACCAAAATGAGTTGCCCTGGTATATGTAAACATGGACTAACCTGCGGCACTTGTGGCTGGGCTAAGTTTTGACCCATGGCCAGATATCTTTGGGGCGGTGGTTTTTCAGTCAACTTTCCTTTGCGCATCCCCAGGGTCGATTCTGCTTGGGAGCTGATTTTGACAAGCTTAAGGGCATCACGGGAAAATCACATCCCCTGTTGGGGATGAACACAGGGATGTGCAATAGTCATAAACAAGACCTGCCCACTAGCGCCTTTGGCCGCGGCTTTGGGGAAGATCCGACTCCAAGGTTGATTAGACGTCTGGCCATGACCGCCTGAGTTTGAACCCGGATCCATTTGCCAGAGCTTGGCCAGGAAACCGGTTCCATGAACGCATATTCTCATAGGACACCCCCCCCAAAACAAAAAAGGCGAAAAAGTCGGTCCTTTTGGCTTACCTTGAACAACCACGAAGAAGGCGTACACTCATAAAAAGACACCGCCATGTTCATTGAGTATCGGGTTTGGACCTCTTTCCCCCAAATCGAGGTAAGCTCTGAAAAGTGGTAGCTGAACCCTCAAACTAAACGACGAAAGATGGATAAACATGGGTTGCCCCCAAAAAGATGAGTCATTTCACTGTTTCGTGGGTAGCTTTTTCGGGGGTACCACACCATGTTGGATTGCCGAAGTTCTTCCCCGGCCCAAAATGTTTGCAAAAGTAGCCCATGAGCCCTAAGAATGGCAGAAATCCACGGTGTTCGATTCGCCAAGTTAGTAAGTTGTAACGGTGACCTAGTACAAAACCCCCAACATTTGAGGTTCACCTTGCTAGGTCAACAAATTTCAAGTGGCCGACCACTTGTGGCCGAACATCCAAGTATCCCCCAAAGCTCATCGACCGCTTAGGGGGGTTCGAGCCATTGTCCGGTCCCGGCCCCGCAACACAATGGGGGGACCTGAACTGGGAAAATCGAGTTTGCCTGGAATGGGGCATAAAACCAATCCATCTCTATACCCATAAAACCATAAAACCAATAGAACCATTGGAAACCATTATATACCCAAACTAGCCTAACGCTTGTGAAGCTAATTCTTCTTGGGGTCACCAAAAAAAAAAAAAACCAGATTGGTTTGGTGCTTTGGAGGTGAAGCGGGACTGGTGAACCCCATTTATTTACCTTTGCCACCGGGGTTCAAATCCAAATCCAAGCCCCCTATCCAAACCAACAACAAGTACCTGATATTTGGTAGCTGACCACGAGTAAGGAAGCCATTTTGGGGTTCAACAACTACCAGTACCTGATATCACTTGCCCCTCAGGCACCTGGAAATCAACTGGTTCACCGTTTTGGGATGCCATGACAAAAACCAAACAAAAACCCAACAAAAACCCAACAAAAACAACCCATCAAAAACAACCCATCAAAAAATCAACTGATTCACAACCCAACAAAAACCAAACACAAAACACAAACAAAACCCCAAGAAAAAAATAGGCCCATCATAAGCTGTTGAACCCAACCAACACAAACCAACCGGTCACAAGGTCGATCCGCTTTGGGCGCTTTGGAACTAGGAATCCACCGGATCGAATCCCCGCCTGCCACCCCGGTGCCACAGCCCAGCTCGATGCCCTTGAGCTGCCTGGCCACTCAAGACAAAGACCAAACAAAAAGAGTCATAAAGACAACAAGAAACATATCATCAACACTAAACACTGGGCAAAGAAACATTAATAAGACAATAAGACATAAATATAATAACAAACATATCATCAACACTACGAATAGTACTGAGGGGAAACTGAACAAACACTGCTTAAACCGCATAACAACACAATAATAATAATAATTATGCCACATAACAATAGTGATAATAACAATAATAGTAATAGTAGTACTCATAATAATCATAAATATATTATACATGTGTTATCATTATACTAATAAACAGTATATACTAAGGCACAATAGTAGCTAACAACAATGATACTTAAGATAATGTATGTGAGTGTATGTATATAACATAATATACACATAAACCACACCGATTTCAGTATGCTTAGAGACATCTCATCAAATTCAATGTGTTAGACTTCAAATGAGCACAAAGAAGCTTAGACCGTACATGTGTGTCCGGAAATAAAATGTACAATCTCTCTCTAGCTGTCCCTCTCTCTCTCTATATTGTAGACCCCTTAAAGCTCGAGCTAGGGTGGACCTGCCCCCCCCCCACTCGCCAGGACATGCGGTTCGGTTCTGAGGGAGCTGATTCAAGCTTTGGTTCAAGCATGTTGTCTCTAGTCGAAATGTGCGAAACTAATTCCCAGTTCAAGCATCTCATTGATCCAAACCAACTAAGGGTACCCCACTACGTAGTAAGGAAGCCTTATTGGGGTTGACCACCTCACTTGCCCCTTAGGGATCTGGAAATAGCAGGTCAACCTTTTGGGGCCATGACTGAAAATGGGCCAAAATACAAAACCCAAAAGGTCGAAAGCTGAGCTGTGGACAAGTGAGATGAGGTTTCCAATTACAGAGTCCACGCCCAAAACAAAAACACATGTGGAACTAAGACTGACCATGGCTAATAATTGCGCTTCAACATGTTTGTTGGCCGATGGTGCATACTGCTTTCCAAATTCACATGAAACAAAGAAACACATAGGTCATGGGAGTGCCTTGAAATCAGAGAACCTTCAAAGGGGTGTCCTTTTGGTTGCCCTCTTTAATACCATCCTAGACAACTCAGCATCTAGTCGGAACCATATACCAGCTCTAGCATACCGTTACCTCAAAAAGGGTACCCTGCAAAAAATAAGCTCAGGTGATATCCCCAACAGCATGCGGTGCTCTTTGTAGTGCTCGCACCACCCCGCAGCCCTCGCAGAACCTTGTGGAACCCTCATGAAACCCTGGTGGAACCCTGGTGGAACCCTCGTGGAACCTTACCTCAGGGCCGCCCCGGACCACCCGGAGCCTATCTGGGCTGAGACCCCAAAGCTGTCAGCTGTTGGGGGAAAAAACGACCATGCGCCCCTTTTGGATCGGCATCCCCCCTTTTGTGAATTTCAGGCTCATGTCGATTTGTGGAAGCTGTTGATTTGCGGCGGCAGCACGGCCCGATCTTTTCGGCTCAGCGAATTCTGCGCATTCGCTGGTGCGATTCGGCAGCCTCGGCGGCTCAGAGCACGGCATGGCATGAGAAACCCAAGACTCGACTCAGTTGTTGAGTGACAGTGGAAAAAAAGGGAATCCTTTTTGGGGAAGACCATTTTTAGTGGTGCAGCCAGCAAAAAGAAGGGGAACAACGGGCGCCACTGAACAACTGAGTCGAGAGCTTCTAATTTGGAAACACCCCCGTCAAGCCGCGAAAAGCAATCCTTCGGAAACAAACTGGGAACTCCGGTGTTTTTGAAGCCATGACCAAAAATACATGCGCGGGCCAATGTTAACCAATGCTAACGCTTGGACCTTGCTTTGGATAAGCCTACCAAGGTGAACGTAGATGGCACAATTTCCCCTTTATGTGGCTAAGTAAAAGAGGTGACCAAACCCAAATGGAATTGTGTCATCTAGTTTTCAGGGGAAACAAAATGGGGGACTATGAAAACGCATATTGTCGCCTGCCCTTTCTTGACAGTACAGCTTTTGATACTCTCATTGGGGCTGTCTCAAATGCACTGCACTAAGCCACGTATCTGGGCTCATTGAGTAAAAGGTGGATGCCAGAGACTCCCCATTTAGGCTTTATCATCTTTACTTCCAGACACAAAGAAAGCAGGGACATCTGCTTTTACCCTGGTTTACTGCGTTTCCCGAGGAAGCTGAGGACAGGTCTTTAACTCCCAAGGATTGCAAGTGTCCATTCTCAAACTCCCCCACGAGGCGGGCTAAAACGGAGCTTTGCCCCAGGATCAATAAACCAGAATCAACCCAGCCCTCGTCGACCAACACCGCGGGTCCCATTCCAGCCCGAGACAGCGGCGAAACCGACAGCACTTTGGTTCACGCCTGTCCCAACATGCTGTCCTCGCAGGTCTTACCGTGCGGTAGACTTCAAATGGCCATCTAAAGGGCCCATCGAGGGTGCACAGAGGGCAGTGGGATGGGCACACAGAACCCCAAACAGGCTTGCGCCCTTGTCCCACCTGGCAAAATATGGCTTAAAGTGTTGCTCCGTGTTTGAAGCTTTCAACTGCTACGTACAATGAGACGTTCCTCCATCAACTTGCGCTGGTTGGCTTATCGGCTTGCTCGCCCTTTGGGCGGAAGGAGGCTGTACAAAAGTGCCTGCACTTGGCGCAAGACCTTGAAGGGGACTATGCATGGCTATGCATGGCCAATACCAGGGCACGAGTCCTGGGAAAATGCACTCGGCTAAAGCCCGAGTCTTGTTGCCCGGGCCAGGAGCGCGCAAGCCGAGGAGAGATATCCTCCTACTCGGCAGGCGGCATGAAAAAGGTCGCCTTTCAGAAAATCCTCCCCACCATCCGAAAAATGACCTGAACTAGGGGGTCAAACTGTCAGAAACCTACCGACATCCTCACTTCCTGATTGCCCCAAAAGAAGCCTGTCATCTCTCAATTTACCTGAACGTCCGGATTGATGGGAGGCAAAGTTCAAAGGGACAGGCGAAATCGAGCAAATCGCTCGGTTTCGGCGCGTGAAGCGCCGCGAGTCGCGGGAATCCGAAATCGAGACGTCTCGGCTCTGACCCCTGCGGGCGCTCAAAACTGGACTTTGAGGTCCTCGGTTGCTTTCTGCTCCCCTGCTAAAAGTGAATAACTTTTAGTGGTTGAATGAAAAACCCATTAGTTGGCAAACAGTTAAAGTCCTAACATCCCTTGGCAAAATGCAGCAAAGGGTCTTTCAGGTCGCACTCCTTCCTGAGCTCGGCGTCTTCCAAGCCCAGGAGGTACTTCAAACTCCAGCCAGCCTGGCGATGAAACACCGCTAGAAGGCAAAAGGGGGCTTGCAAATAAAGAACGCAGTGGCCTCAAAAGTGGTTGTCTTGTTGCTGGTTTGCCAGTTTGTCTGATTGATTCTTTGTTTATCTGTTGATTGATGGCTGCCGGGCCGTCTGCTTCTGGATCTCGCCGCCTACTCTTCGCTTGCAATTCACTCGCAATTCGTCGAAGCGGTGACCGTCCGTCGGGCCTCGAAGTTGGGCCCGAAGGGCATCTTCCAGGTCCAGAAGAAAGGCTGGATCTGGTCCTGACGCAAGAAAACACCCGCCGGATGCAAGACAAAAGATCCAAGAACAAGAAACAAAGCCACCACATGCGAGTAGTTCATCCCCCAAATGCGAGTAATTAATTCATTCCCCAAACGCTTGACTACAGATTGGCATAAAACAAATCGGGGCAGTTGTCCATGCAAGGGCATGGCTTGGTGGTTTGGGCATTGGTGCCAATGCATGGATTCGGCTAGGTCCTCCAGTAGAGAGGTTAGAAGAAGTTGGTACCAACTTTTTTCTGTAAATGGTCTGTTGTAGTAGGGGATCCCTCCCCCAAGCTCAGGTGATATCCCCAACAGCATGCGGTGCTCTTTTTAGTGCTCGCAACCCGCAGCCCTCGCAGAGCCTCGTGAAACCCTCGTAGAAGCCTGGTGGAAACCTCTGGAACCCTCGTACCTTACCTCAGGGCCGCCCCGGACCACCCCGGATCTGGGCTGAGACCCCAAAGCTTTCAGCTGTTGGGGAAAAATTAGAATAAGGGTACCCTTTTTCCGTAAATAGTCTGTTGTAGTAGGGGATCCCTCCCCCAAAAAGGGCAAAGCTTGCAGTGGGGGAAGTCGGGATTCGGTCAAGCCAACTTCAGCCAGGCGACGGATTGGAAAGCCTTCAGCTCCTCCTCCAGAAATGCTCGGAGCAGCTGGGTGTTGTGGCAAGCGTACCTCGCACCAACGAAGCCCATGTGAACGGACCAAATGTTCTCGATCCAAACGAGCATGGGGAAATTGAGGGGGGGGGGCTTGCAACAACTTGGGTTGCCCCCTTCTCCTCAAACGAACAAACTTAAATTTGTTTTGTGTGATTGAAGAAAAAAACACGCATCCAGAACTCCCGCGCATGGGAATCTCTTGCTTCTTTTTTCGGCGGCTTGGAATCGAAGCGTTTCAAGTCTCGGGGAACACGGGAGCTCCATGCGAGGTCCGTAAGACTGCGAACAGCAAATCACGCCCGAGATCCGTTCGGTATGTGGTAGGCCTCACTAGACCCCCAAAAAATGGCTCAAAGGGTTTCCTTCAGTTTCCCCAAACTACCCCAAAAAGAGCTTCGACTCCAAAACCAAAGGCACATCCAGTCAAAGTCGGCTGGTCCTTCATTTTAAGGGAACACCCGCCTTACAAAAGGGCCAAAGGCCAGAATCCACCGGACTGGAGTCAACTCCATGATTCTTGAGGCTGAGCAGTTTCAACTGTCCTTTCAACTAGGCCACTAAAATGGTCCAAGCCCAAAGTAGTGAAACTCCATGAACCCGGGGAGGGAGCCTATTTGGGTCTGTCATTCTTTTACGGCTACCTCCGGTGTTTCTTGGTTTTACAGGGCATATCACCATTTTGGGGGGTCCAAATCCTATAAAAGGGACAGACCCATTTACCGCCAAAGTGTTTGGCTCGTCTCGACTCCCCCTGCCTCGCTTCATGGAAGGTGCCCGCGGAGAACTCTGTCACCTCAGGTCGCCAAAAATGGCGCGCGGGTCGGCGTGAGCGGGGGTCTGAGCCCTAGGGAGTTCAAAGGTCAGGAGCTTTGGGTCTCTCCCCCGCCAAAGAAAGAAAGAAAGACCAGTTCAAAAATGGGGTTTCCGCAAAAAGGCAGACCCCAACGGCCCTTGACCCCCATTTGGCTTGGCACCTTGAGGGAAACAGATCTTCGAACCATTGTCATTTGCGGCGACCCAGAGTTCCAGAGCCTTGCTTAAAGAGTCAGTCGAACGTGCCCCCTTGATTCGATCAAAATCCCCAGACTGGTGAAGGAATGATCTGGGTCATGGTCAAATTCAATTTTCTAGGGACCGAAGGTTCTGGTCCTTGCTTCCATTTACCAGGGTTCCATTTTGGGTACACCCATCTCTCAGAAAAACTCGCACTGTGCAGCTCCGTAAGAACGCACCTACATGCCAAAAAAATCGGAGGCCACCCCGAGTGGACATGGAAAAAAAAGGGCGGACCTTTTCGGGAGAAAAAGGTCTCTGCCCTTTGCGGACCTAGACTTTAAGGCTGACCTCTTGCGGCCATTACAAAATGGGGCTGCCCACTCGTCAGCTTCCCTCGTTTGGCCTGGTGGTTTGGATTCAAAGCCCCAGTTCCCGCCCATCCAAACCGGCCATTGGGTCTGACTCTGGAACCATCTCTTTTGGTTGCCTTTCGACGAAAAACCAAAGGAACCCCGCCACTTCGAAAAGGCCCTGAAACACGACACACCCAACTTGCGTTGAACCAATCCGCCTCCATTCCCCCCGTCCGAGTGATCCGAGTGGCCGCGACCTGGGCATCTTCAAAGAGCTTCCGCAGCCGCGATGCTGCGCTGGAGGCGCAGTCATGCAGCTTGGCCTGGGGAAAAGACGTGTCGGGGTGAAACTGGTGCATCTTTGGGCTGTTCAAAATGGAGGCTTGGCCAATCCGATTTTCCATCATCCCTGTAAGGAAGCCACTATCACGGCAAACCCCGTGCGCAACCCAAGGATTTAGGATTAAGGACTACCTTTGAACAGCCCAAATTCGTGTCATAAGACCTGTCTCACCTCAAGTTCAGACCTATTTCTTCTCCTTTTCCGCTCCCCTTCTCAAGGTGAGCTTCTGGCTGACCATTCGGAAAGTCCAAGCCGAAAAGTTCCGAAAAAAAATCCCCGAGGAACTGGATGCCTGGGAACCAAGCCTCGGGTTCCAGGTTCCAGGTTCCAGCGCCGCGCTGTGTGTCACATGGTCCCTGTGGGATTTGAAGCCCCGAAAAATGGATTTCCCTTGGATTTCCCAAAGCCAAGAGGAAACACGGAAGCCATGTCCATCGTCTCAAAAGAACTCGGCCCCCAAAAAGGGGAACTCCAAAAGCTTCGAGCTGCTCTGAGTTTCTGCCTCTATACCTCAAATGTCAAATTGTTTTGGGCTGTATATGTTTGGGGGTCGTTGGGGGTCGTTTGGGGGTAGTGGAAACCATCTTAGAGTGAAACTAGGGGGAATGGGGAGGTCAGGGGAGCTTGCGTGTGCGGGTAGCAGCTTTGGCAATTAGGTCCTGTTTGGAGTGTCCCCTAGGAACATCCGCCTGTGTCCAAGGAAAGATGGCCTACGGGGACATCTAGGAACGTTTGGGCAAAGGCGAAAAGCCAGCCATATGGCGTGCATTGGCCTCAGGAGACACTGGCTCGAACCTCAGCCAGTTGGTTTGTTTTCTCTTTTTTGGGTACCCCTTATTGGTTGGTTTCGAAGGGAAGCAAAGTGGCGTACATCTGCGAATTGTGTTTCTGACGGTTGTTTCAACCAATTTTGCCCACATGTGATTCACTGACTTGTTTGAGCGGGTCCCTGTTGACAGATACCTCAGTCAGCTTCATGTGGTCACCTTTGGGCGGGCCATTCTCCCACTGCCTTTTCCCATGTCCAAACTCCCAAGTCCTTTCTCCAGCACCCCCTAACCACCGCCCTTCCCCATCCAAAATCCCCTTGGCACGGCAACCAAAACAGAAGGGTATGTCTGCAAAAACAACCATTTCATATGGAAAACACTAGGGCCCACCGCGTACCCCTCTCAACCAAAAGGCACTTGGGGGGTGGCTCCGCATGGATGGCATTCCTCCATTTGCTTAAGTTCTTGAAAAAAATAATAATAATCCAGTAGTGATAGTTTCCCTTTAAAACTAACAGGGGGAAAAACAAACTTAACCGATCGCATGTCTGTGTCGTGCCTGGACTTCCGGGAGGGGCGCTGAGCAGCTGAAGCCTCCGCCCTGCACCTGGTTTTCGATTGAGGGGGCCCTAGAGGGGAGGGAGGGGAGGGGAGGGGAGGGGAGGGGAGGGGAGGGAGGGAGGGGAGGTGGGGATATGGGTGCCATGGAGACCTAGAGTCTATGTTGCAGAAAAGGAACCCTAAGAACAACAATACCCCCTAGATGAAGGAGGTTGCAACATAGACCCCAATAGAGGGGGGGGAGGCTCCCTCGTGGGCTTGAGGCCAAATCTGTGCTTCGCCCATTGCGGCCAGGAGGTCCAAACCAGTCCAAAGCAACGGAGAGCCTGATATGTAGCTTGGAGCCGAGTCGGTGCTGAAAAGTTCTCTAATGCAGGGACCAAACTAGTTGGTTTCCGGTTGGTTTCCATCTAGGGGCTCCGTACTTTGAGACAGACCCAATCAGGTTCGAGAAAATGTTGGTTGGGTTCGGCACCACTATAAAGACTTGATACCACATAACATAACGGTTCTACGAACAACAATGATGATAACATATGATAACAGTGACGATAGAGACGATAGTGAATATACTGAAACCGTGTTTATAAGCATGTTACGGGATGGCTTATAGGCTTAGCTTGTTCTCCTTTTGGTGACCCTTAATCATAGCATTGTTGATGGTTCGGTTAGGTGGTTCCCAGGCAATCTCCCTCGCCTGGCAGGATTTTGCTGATAGATGTTGAACCCAGTTCCTTGCCAGCTCTCAGTTTTGAACCACTGCATGCTTGATGTCAAGACTGAGGTAGCTTATATTCACTTACACAAAGGACACAGACATGCACTAGACGGTTGATCTGTTGTGGTCATGACAAAAAACAAACCAACATTGGGAAACCAAAAGGTCAAAAGGTGGGCGGCGGGGCAAGTGAGTATAATGAACATACTCCCGGCCTCAAAGACATGTCCCGATGGCAACTCCATGGGGCAGGCCCTTTCTCAATAAGGCATGGTATCTAAACAGCTTGTTTGGCTGTTTGTTTGTTTGCTCGTTAAATATGGTATCCAGGGTATCCTTCAGAAAAGGGTGCCAACCAAACACGCGCACATAGATCCTGTCACAAAGTGACAAGTTGCACCGTGTGCAAAGAAGCGTCTTCCTAGCTCAAAGCGACCAAAAGAAGCCCCTATCTCTACCAAAACCAACCCAAAAGCGTGACCATAAGGGCAACCATGGGCGAATTACTCACCACGACACCAACCCCAACTCCAAATCCAAGCGCCAAGTCGATTCGGCACTTCGTGCAGTTCACCTCTTCCTCTTTTCTTTTTCCGCGGCCGCGGCGCGGTGCGGCCGTCGCAGTCCCCGTTGCTCCAGGCGACATACCAGTGGACGTCGGCCACCGCCCAAGTCAGGCGCTCCTAGCAGTCATGCGCGCGAACCACGGCGACTCAGCCAATGACCTTTATTTCTTGCGCTTTGGTTTGTGACAACCAAAGGCTTTCCCTTCAAATAAAGCTGGCGCTTTGGTTTTTGTGACTTCCACGGCAAGTGGAAACAGATAAACATGGGCTCGGAATCCGCTGAACAGCTTGAGTGGTCAAGTCGCCATGCTGAGGCCGGCCGCGCTGCAAGAATCGTCGGTCCTCGTGGGTAAATGTTGTCAGGAACCATGGCACTGCTGAGTGCTCGAACCTCAGCTCAAACGACTGAGTTGGGGTCCATGAAGTCAGGAATCAGTCTTGCGCGAACAATACATTGCTGGATGGGGGGGGTTTTCCCCAGCTATTGTCCAAGTCTTAAATAGGTCCCTTGATATGGGGAGATCACAGCTGCAGCAAAGCAAACAGGTTCATTTCGCCGATGGACAAATCCGCCGTGTCCAGCATTCCATATTTGCTCGTCCCCGCAATGGTGCATAAACGTTCAATCACATCCCTGGAGTTTAGGCCATTCTTGGGAGGGCTTACCGTAAAGAGCCCCAGTTTCCGCATGGGTTTCGCCAAGATGGCGCCATTCTTTGGAGCTGCAAGCAGCATGTCACGGCCGCAACGAGCTACACAACGGGTAGCGTATGTTCGACAACCTCTATACTAGCAACCCATGAGCCCGAAGCTTGTGCATGGCTAACGTCGCCATGCAAAACTTGTCTGACATGGGGGCAGTTTCTCTGACACGCCGAACGATCCCAAGACGAAGAAGAAGAGAAGAAGACACATCCCCCTTTCCTCTAAAACTCTCCCTGAAAGCTGCTCCAAGCCGCCCCAGACCTTACTTGGGCAAATACCCCAAAGCTTTGTTCCTTTTGCCTACGAGGGGAATGTATCGAAGCCCCCTCCTTTTGACTGGCATGTCCCCTCAACAAAAGGGTTTAATCATAGGGATGCACGCCAGGGTGTTTCAGCAGCCCTTGAAAGCAACCACGGAGCCCAACTCAGAGTCTGGCAGTCCAAGTTCAGCAACCCAAAGCCCGGTACACCAAGGCTACCCAAACATGGACATGCATCGGCCACTTCGATTTCGCGTAGGGCATGTTAACCAGCTTCGTCGTGAACTCCCTTGCTCCTTAGGGACCTGGAACAAAAGGTGCACCTTTTAAGGCCATGACTAAACATAGCCCAATATGTGAAAACCAACAGGTCAAAAGGTCGGCTTTGGACAAGTGAGTGAATCATTCCTCCACTCACCAACCTGTTCCTCAGCCGTACCCAAGGTGCCGTCCAATAAAAATCTGAGCAACTGGGAGAAGGCTGTCTCAATGAGGTTTACGTACCTCGGAGTTCCGGCTGACTCGCAGAACTCGGTTCGGCTTCGAAGGTCCCAATAAAACTCACACGAGTGGACTGGCCGAAAAAAGTCCAAGCTTTGCATTTAATATGTTTAGGGTTTAGGGTTTAGGGTTTAGGGTTTAGGGTATATGAAAATGATCTTCCCAAATGGTGTATCCACAATGAACTCGGCGAGTGAGAAGATGATTGGCACGATCCAGCGCAGCTGTTCAGACCAGGATGTCTGGGAATGTGTCGGAACTTCAAAAGCTTGGCTGGCTTTCTCTTTATAGTTCTTGTCAAGCTGCTCCGTGGAGAACTCAGTTCCTGGGCCCAACAGCCTCTGCAGAGATTTGTGATCCCCAAACTACGCACTTGGTCCAGCAAGAAGGCCAACCTGATTTCGATTCCCATGTTGTTCATAAAGGGGGTGTGACTCGCGCCCATTCGTGCATTTCTGCAAGTTGGGGATCCCAAAAACTGTGGGTTTCCGTTGGTTTCTCATCAGGGATTCATGTTTCCTGCAAGGGACCCCTCAAAATGGCGATCGGTTCCCTTGTGAATCGGATGGAATCCGGATTTCGGATGCCACCTTTTT